CTCTATTGACTTCTTTGACATTAGCTTTCTGCTTTTCTCCAGTGTCTCTGAACGTTTTTCTTTGTCTCCTACTTGTTGTACTTAAAAATTTGAATCTTTTCTGACCTTGTACTGTTTTTATCAACCTTAGTCTCCTTTCTTTTTTTCTTTGTGTGTGTTGTTGTTGTTGTTTGTTTGTTTTGGTGTTGCTGGGGATCCAACCCAGGGCCTTGTATATGCGAAGCTGGTGTTCTACCACTGAACTACACTTCCATCCCCTTCCTTTCCTTATACATTTTAATTCTAGTAGCCTGTTCCCTATAGCTAGGTTTGTTTTTTTTTCCCCCCTTTTGTTGTTTTTTGGTACTGAGGGTTGAACCCAGGGGTACTTTACCACTGGAGCTACATCCCCAGCCGTTTTTGTCTTGAGATACGATCTCACTAAGTTGCTGAGACTGGCCTCAAATTTGCAATCCTCCTGCCTTGGCCTCCCAAGTCAGTGGGATTACGGGCATATGCCACCACACCCAGCTTCAGCTAGGTTTGTACTAACTATTCTGTCTTTCCAATATATTTTCTGTCTTTTAAAAGGTTGAGTCTTTTAAAATCCTGTGTGGTTTACTGAAATTCTTTTTGGAAGAAAGCAGGATAAAAATTAATAGAAATTTTCTCTACCCCATTCTTACTATCTCTATTAAAGATGATTGCTAATAATTAAGCCTTTCAGTTCTTCATCTCCTCATCTCAGATGATCTCCACTCCTCCTCTGCAATGAAGTCACATATTAGACTTTCATCACTCAAAACTGGTAAGAACCCTAATAGGTTATCTGTACATTTGAGTTCTAAGAAGTGAGAATCAGCCCTTGCTTCTGAAATTGGTTACCAAGTCATAGCTGGAATTTCCTTTCTCTTTCTCTTCTCATTCATTCCATGTTCTCCTTGCCCTTAGCTAACTGATGAGATGGTGAGGGTTCCTATCCTGGTGTGATGACTCAGACCTCTGTTTCCAAGGCCTGAGTCATTGTTGGTATGTATAGGATTGCTTTAGACATCTGTTGCCTTTACTTCAAGGGGGGGCCACAGTGTGGGTGGACCGGAAGGAACTTATCCAGGTTTCCATGCAGGACATTATGGTACAGTGAGGAAAGCAAAGATGTTTGAATTCTTGCCCTGTTCCTTACATGTAGGATTTTGGAAAACTTCTCTAAGTCTAAATTTCTCATTTATAAAGTAAGAAATGAAGATATCTTTCTGAGAGAATTGTTATGAGGATTAAACGTGAGATGCCTAGAAAATTCCTAGCAGAGTTGGTGGCCTCCTTTCCCCCTTTCCTTCAGTTTAGGCATGCTGGATTTTTACTTGTCTATTCTCTCTCTTCTTCATGAGACTAGGAAAGAGGGTCAACATTTTATTGTCTACTATAGTTTAAAAAAATCCCTACTAGTCTTTTGAAAATATTAGCAGCCATTATGGCAGGGTAGAACCTGACAGTGATTCTATCATGCAGATGCTAGAACTGCAGGCCGCAGATCCCCAGGAGGGAACCAGTCTGTGCAGCTAAGAGATCTGGAGATGGAGTTTTCCACCATGTGATCTAGTTTTCTTATAGATGTTATAAAACTGCTCATTGGCAAAGAATTAAGGCAATGAAAGCCGAGGAAAATTTGTTTCTCCAGAAGAATGCATTAGGTCCCCTAGAATGTGTAAGGTGAATGTCTACTGTCCTGTTGCCAATTCCTAAGTCACCCTGGAGCAGCTTACTGTCCTACCCAGAATTCTTGCATTAGTCTGCATTGAGCCCAGCTGATAGAGAGAGGCTTCTCATTTAATTTGTGTCTTTAAGTGTTTGTTGGCACAAACATTACATTATTCTTCATCTTAAAAAGCTGGGAACACTAAGTGAATGTCATTCACTCTGGACCTGAAGGCACCTTAGGCTTTCCTCTGGCCCTGAGGCTCCTTCATAGACCCACCCACTATGGAGTTACATTTGAATAACAAACATCTCTGTTGCCTGTTTTCCCAGGAATAAATTTTAAAGAATAAAGCAAGGTGGGTTGGAAAAAAATTTTCAGGAGATCACCATGTTATATGTAAAAAAAGAACAAATGGAAATAGACTAAATGATTGTCTTTAGATGGAAGAATTGTGAATAAAACATCTTTTCATTATTCTATGATTTTTACATTTTCTAAAGAGAGCATATTGCTTTTAAAATAGAGGAAAAGAACTTTAAAATTGCCACTTTAAATAATTGATTAGTAGTGAAATCCAAATGTAAAGCAGCACACAGTTTATTGTGATTAATAAGCACAAAATGAATAAATTCCAGTTAGGCCAAATTTTAAATTTCAGTCCTGAGATTCAACCCAGGGAAGGCCTCACGCATACTAGGCAGGTGCTCTGCCACTGAGCCATACCCTGTGGGTTTTGAATTTTTATCTTTTTCTGGTGATACTCTCTTGTCATGCTGGGCAGAGACAGCAAGCCATAGCTCCTAGTCAGCCATGTGATCATAAGGGTCAACAGATGACACTCCGTGTTGTACCACGTAGCTACCATGTGGTGTTTAGTAGGCTAGGAGTATGAAATGCATCTTGCGGGGTCAGGTACCAGGGATTGAACTCGGGGACACTGGACCACTGAGCTATATCCCCAGCCCTATTTTGTCTTTTTAGAGACAGGGTCTCACTGAGTTGCTTAGCATCTCACTTTTGTTGAGGCTGGCTTTGAACTCGGCATCCTCCTGTCTCAGCCTCCTGAGAAATGAGGATTACAGGCATGCACCACCATGCCTATCTGAAATGCATTTTTGACTTATACTATTTTCAATTTATAGTGGGTTTATCAGAATATAACCCCATCATAAGTTGAACATCTATAGTAGACTAATATCTTTTGAAGGCTCTTTTGATTCACATCATTTAGAAGTAATTAGTTATCCTTTGAACTCTTAAGTCTTTTCTTTTTATCATTTTATGGATAGCTATTATCTCTACTCTTTAGTAAGCTCCTAAATAAGGCAGGAACTTTCTTCATATCTTCCATAGTGCTCTGTGCAGTAGGTTCTCAATAAATGTTGAATTAGCATTTTTCCTTTTTGATGGCTTAGGGCCAAGGCAAAACACATGAAGCCTTGAGCTTTGAAGTCTGTGTGGGAATTACTGTCTATAGTATCCAGTGTCTGCAGCCTGTCCCCACAGCTTCCTCTGCAGTGAGATGGAGGAAAGATTTCTGGCTGATTATTCTGCATGTCTCCCTTTAACTTTCCTCCTCTTTCTGAACTCCTTAATCTGTTCCCTTTCTGTGTCGGTTATCTATTCATTCATAATAAGTCACTTTAAAACAAAATTATTTATTATCTCTCATGATCAGGAATTTGGAAACGGGTTTGGTAGGGCAGTTTTGGCTTAGAGTCACTCATATTGTTACAGTCAGATGTCTCTGGAGCTATAGTCTTCTGAACTCTTTGACTGGGACTGGAGGATCCATTTGCAAAATGGATCACTCACCTGGGTGGCAGATTGGTACCGACATGTTAGGTCTTCTCCACAGGGACCTCCAGACAGCTATTTGAGTGTCCTCACAATGTGCTGGATGTCACAGTGAGACAGTGGCTCAAGACATTATAATGCCTTCATAATATAGCTTTGAAAGTCACAGTTGTTGCTTCTACCATATTCTATTAGTTATACAGGCCATCTCTAATTTATTTGGGTGGGAGATTATAAATGAGTGTAAATATCAGGAGTCAAAGATCATGGGCTCATAGGAAGCCATCTGGGAGGCCGAATCTTCATCCACTGCTGTTATTCCCCGAAGGGTCATTGTGCTCAGCCTTGGTTAATTTCCCTCTTCATTCCCATTGCCATTCCTAATTCACAGTCTTATCCTACAACATTAACCTTCAAATTTTGGCCCCCCCTTAATCCATCCTCCATATTGTTTCCAGAAGCATAATTCTGAGTATGTTGTTCCCTTACTTACCCCTCTTTAAAAACTAAAATATACACTCCCTGAAGGCAAAGCTATATTAATTATCCATTGCTTCATAAAAATAAAACCACCAACTTAGCAGTCTAAATAATATTTATTTATTTATTTATTTATTTTTAAAGAGAGAGAGAATTTTTAATATTTATTTTTTAGTTTTCGGCGGACACAACATCTTTGTTTGTATGTGGTGCTGAGGATCGAACCCGGGCCGCACGTATGCCAGGTGAGCGCACTACTGCTTGAGCCACATTCCCAGCCCAATATATATTTATTATCTCCCATTTTCTGTGGATCGAGTTGGCTGAGTCTTCTGCAAGGCTGCCATCAAGGTGTCAATCAGTGCTGGTCTCTCATCTGAGGCACAACTGAGGAAGGATATATTTCCAGGTTCTTAGAGTTGTTGGTAGTATCCAGTTAGACTTACAGATTGTTAGACTGAGGGTCTTGGTTTCTTGCTCTCTTTCAGCAGGAGTCTACCCTCAGTTCCTTGCCATGTAGTTCTCAGAACACGTCAGCTTACTTCTTCAAAGCTAGCAGGACAAGTGTCTCTTAGCAAAACACATGTTAAAATATTATGTAGCCGGCTGGGGTTGTGGCTCAGTGGTAGAGCACTCGCTAGTGCATGGGAGGCCCTGGGTTTGATCTTCAGCACCACATAGAAGTAGATAGAATGAAGGTGTTGTGTCCAACTACAACTAAAACATAAATATTTTTTAAAAAGTATGTAATGTAGCCGTGTACAGGTACTCATGTACATTCCCATCACTTTCCCATATTTGGTTGGTTAAAAGCAAGACATAGATTCCACCCACACTCAATGGAAGGGATTATACAAGGGTGTGACTACTAGGAAGCAAGAGTCAGGGAGATTGCACAGTCTTATCTGCCTTCCCTGTGTCTTTAGCACCTTGAGCAATGTGTGATATATGCAGAGTAAGCTCTAATATTTGAATGAATGCTATAGGATGGCCATTGTGTTTCTAGCTCCTGGCTTAAACCTTTTTTGTTTCTCCCTTGTTTCAGGGTTACTGACTTATTCTTGAGACGCCTCTCTCTCATCTGTCCTCATGGATGAACTTCAGGATGTTCAACTCACAGAGATCAAGCCACTTCTAAATGATAAGGTAAAGATAACTCTGTTCTCATTAAAACACATATAAGACTTTTATTCTGTTGGTTCATTTTCTGTATCATTTGAGTAGTAACTAACTTAAACATTAAACTTGACTTTTATTGGAGGGAATGCTTCTTAAAGTATATTTCTTAACCTGCTCTTTAATGTCTTTCCCTTTTCTTCCTTATTTTTGTGTCCATGGGTCAAATTCAATCAAGTTATCTTTGAGATTTTTCCTATTTTACAAATAGAGATGTCAAGAGAAAAATAATACAGTGAAGTAGGAAACATGCGGGTGGTGTTTGACTTAGAGTCCAAGTGCCGTGACTTTCAATTTCTATAAGAAACATTATACATGCATGGCTGGTGATATACACAGGCTGCAGTCCTCTTCCTGAAGTTTGTCAAATCTGTGATGTGACCTTTCTGTCAAAATCACAGTTTTCATCAAGGATGCATAGATGTTAATAATGTACCTCATTTTTACATTAGTGTTAGAGAACTTCATCATGACCAGCAGAGTTGACAGCCATTGGACCCAACAAGTGGAATGTTGTGATATGAGGTACCAAAAAGTTCAGACAGGCTGGTCCCTCTTGTTCAGAAAGTGTATTGGAAATTCTTTCTTTTCCACCCTATTCTTTTGGCTTATTGTCATTGTCTCCTATTAAAATACTCTTATAGCATGGTGTGAATGTTTTCTTGTCATCCTTTTGAGGAAAAAAATGGATGGAGAATATGGATAAGATGGGTAAGTGTGTGGGGCCACCAGAAGATGCTGTTGCTTATTATCTTCTTCTGCTGAGACCAAAGCCTTTCAAAACTCCCAGGGCTCCTGACTTATTATGTGTTTACTAATTTTTTATTGAATCCTGCTAGCCCCACTTTCATCCTTGTGACCTCTTCTGTCCCTGCTTCCACCTTTTCCTTTATCTTTTACCAAACTTCTTGCTCTCTCCTTTGGCAAGGTGCATATTTTTTTAACCCCCCCCCCCTTGGCTTCTCCTACCAATTCCCCTCCTGTTTCCAGAAAACTCTCTTTGAAGTACCATATTTTTGTGTATGTGAAGGGCTGTCCCCAAAGCAATGTGCCTGAATTATATGAATTATATACCCCTGCTATATGAGGATACTGTGAGAAGGCAGCTGTTTGTAAACCAGGAAAAGCCCTCATTGAAAACAGAACCTTGCTTGAACCTTACTCTTGAATTTTCAAGAAAATAAGTTTATGATGTGTTAAGCCTTCCAGTATATGGGATTTTGTATGGCAGCCCAAAGTAGATAGAATCCAAGCAATGTTTCATTTCTAACATCTTTTAGCTCCTTTCTAATATCCCTGGAGGAAAGAAATAAAATCTGCATCTGTAAAGCTTCTGTGTAGCCATAGCCACAGACCTGAATATTTATAAAGCAGATGAGAATAAGCAGTTTAGATTCAGGAAGGTAGTAACCTATCCTAAGTCTCATTAGTCATCAGAATCAGCTGAGGATTTGTTTAAAAATACAGATTCCTGGGTTCTTGGGTCCCAGTCCATATCAACTAAATGAGAATAGGGAATAACAGGGGATTACACACACCTCCTCTAAGGTCAGTGGTTCTCAACTTTGGCTTCTTATTGGAATTATCTGGGGAGATGTAAAAATTACTAACTCCTGAGTCCTCACTTCTTACTGATACCTGATTGATTGGTGTGATTGGGTGTGGGGTGTGGTTGAGCTTTTTTACTCCCCCCGCCCCAAGCTCTGGGGATTGAATCCAGGGGCTCTCTAGCTCTGAACCACATTCCCAGCCCTTTTTACTTCTTTTTATTTTGTGATAGCGTCTTACTGAGTTGCTAAAGCTGACCTCAAACGTGTGATCCTTCTGCCTCAGCCTCCCAAGTAGGTAGGACTACAGATGTGCATTACCATTCCCTATTGGTTGAGCTTTTTAAAAAAGCTCTCAAGAGATAACCAGGTATAGTGCATGCCTGTATTCCTACTCAGGAGGATCACAAGTTTGAAGTCATCCTGGTCAACTTAGTGAGACCCTGTCTCAAAACAAAAAATAAAAGGGGTTGTGGATGTGGCTCAGTGGTAGAATGCCCCTGGGTTCAATACCCAGTACCAAATATAAAACAAACAAACAAAAATCTCTTGAGATTAAGAACTGGTTCTAAAGTTACTCTGATTAGCCAATATTGAAAACCCCATGACCTGATGGATCTCAGATACTTGAGGACTGGGACACAAAACAAGGGGACAGCACTGATCCTGGAAATCTACAGGACACTGAAGGAGGCACCTAAATGAAAGAATTGCAGAAATTGCTTGAATATCTTACAGAGAACACAACTGGAAAAGGAAAAGGTCAGTGGATGTACCTATAGAAAAGCACTGAATCAATGTCTGATCCTCCTCTGATGTTTGCTTGATTCTGTAGACTGAATTGTGTTCCCCCAAAATTTATGTGTTGAAGCCCCAGCCCCCTCTCCATGTAACTATTGGAGATAGTGCCTTTTTAGGAGTGATTAACATTAAATAAAGTCCTAATCTGATAGCTTTGGTGGCCTCTAAACCCCTGCTATATGAGGATACTGTGAGAAGGCAGCTGTTTGTAAACCAGGAAAAGCCCTCATTGAAAACAGAACCTTGCTTGAACCTTACTCTTGAATTTTCAAGAAAATAAGTTTATGATATGTTAAGCCTTCCAGTATATGGAATTTTGTTATGGCAGCCCAAAGTAGATAGAAACCAAGCAATGTTTCATTTCTAACATCTTTTAGCTCCTTTCTATATCCCTGTACTGTTTCTACCCACTTCCCACATTCCATCTTGCCCCCTCTCTCCTGTCCCAGTACTATTCATGAGAACTCCCCTGCTCCTGCTAAGCAGGTAGATAGACAGGAGGCCCCTTTGGAAGGCCCAAAGAAAGAATCCCACCCCCATTAGCCTCCGGCCTGCCTCATGAATGCTGCTGTCTTTGCCCAGCAAGTGGGTGTTTTTGCATATGTCATAAAAAGTATAATGAGGAAAATGCCTCTTGTCCATTTGACTATGTAACAGGATTTCTCAGTCTTGACTCTGTTGTTTTGGATCAGATGATAAGTAATAGAGTAACAAAAATGTTGATCCCAAGGTTCTGTCTTCCCATTCTAACATCCTCCTCCTTCCCCACTGATTAAATATTCAGTCATTAGTAGGAAAGGAAACCTGAAATTACAGTAAGGTTTACCTTACTTGTTTTTTTGGTTGGGCGTGGGGGTTGGGGATTGAACCTAGAGGTGTTTTACCGCTGAACTACATCTTTAGTCCCTGTGTGTGTGTGTGTGTGTGTTCCTCAGGATTGAACCCAGGACCTTGTGTATATGAGGCAAGCACTCTACCAACCGAGCAGTATCCCCAGCCCCCCAGTCCCTTTTTGTTTTTAATTTTGAGCCACAGTCTTACTCAGTTGCTGAAGGTCTTGCTAAATTGCTGAGGCTGACCTCAAATGCATGATTCTCCTGCTTCAGCCTCCTGAGTCTCTGATTACAGGCATGTGCCACCATGCCCAGCTTGGATTTACCTTACTTTCTACCAAAAGCCACGAACTGTGCTTTTCAGTAGAGGATGTTTAGCAGTACCTTTGACCTCCCCGCAAGATGCCAATCGTACTCCTAATGGTGACAACCAAAAATGTCTGCAGTTATTGTCAAAATGTCCTGTAAGGAGTAAAAACATCTGCTTGAGAACCACTGGTGTAGGAGAAAAATCTCCAGATTGAATAGGAGTAGATACCTTAATGGTTTTTTGTTGTTGTTGTTTTGTTTCTTTTCTGGTGGTGGTTTTTTTTTTGTGTTTTTTGCATAACCTGCCATTATTCATTTATTAATTAAGCACTTTTCATGTGCCAGGTGCTTTATATACATTCTCTCTCTTAATTCTTAGAGTATCCCTTTGAAGTAGACAGTATTATTCACTTAGCAGATGAAAAATCTAACTAAAAGGCTGCCTTGCCTGGCCAGGAAGTGGGGAGCTGGGACTGAAACCATCTTTTCTCTTCTGAAACCTGAGCCCTTCCCACTGTACTGATCCTGGAGGTATTTGGGCATCACTTTTGTGCTTTGCCCTCTTTAAGGAGAAGCCTAGAAATGTGTATTATTTCTTTCTGTCCACTGTGCTTATAAATACTCTTAGCCAAAGACATTGCTATATTCTTCCAGGCTCAGGGAGCTAAAGGAAATCTAGACCCAACCTATTATGGAGAAATTTGTCCTGAGATGACTAAGGAAGCATTCTCAAAATAGCTTTAAGTGAGGATTATGTTAACTTGCCTCTTGTCATCTGTTGGTATTTTTCCCGTTTTATTTTAGTATGCCTGTAATTTTGTCTATAGCTCAGAATTGTCAAGAAGTGGGTGATTTTTGCCATGCTTGTTTTGGTTTCAGTGATAAAAAGAAGCAACTACCAGTACTTACATTGTTTGGTATGCAGAAATGGCTCAGATGTGTGAAATGAATTTTTAAAAATAGCATTTAACTATTTTCAGAGTATTTTTCTAATCTATTAATACCCTAACCTCTTGGGAAGTAAGTATTGAAGCATTTTTAATTCCATTTTACAAATGGGCTCCTAGAGGTTATTTGATTTGTCCAAAGCTAGTGTCTGTTAAGGTGGTGAAGCTGGAACTAGAACCTACATCTTTCATACTTCCTTTAGTTGCAGGCTGTTCAGGCTTCACCCAGCAGATCTGTAACAAGCAAGAGAGCTGACCATGCTTCATTTTCCCTGCCTCCTCCTGCCTCCTGTTAGTGTAGATACTGTGGAGCCTGGTGAAAGCCAAATGTCAGGCATGAAAAAACAAATAGGAAGTCCTAGTTGTCTTCTGAAGAAGTGAAGAAAGTATCAGGAAGGGGAATAAATACCTACTAGAAAGAATGGAAACAACTCATTTACTCTATTTTGGTTATTACAGTAGAAAGTAAGGTAAATCCTACTGCAGGAGGAGGATATTAGAATTAAAAGAAGGGGGACCCTGAGATCAATATT